ACACACACACACACACGAGTCTCCCACTCCTCCCTTCTGCCCACCTGTCGCCCAGGCCCAGGAGAAGGGCTGCACCGGCGCAGAGGGGTCCTCTCTGGGACACACCAGATAAAGCCGGTGCAGGGACCCCTGGAGCAACCTCAGTAACAGACGTCTGATCTGCCAGCTCATGGGACAAGTGGTACCACCAATGACAGCACCCCAGGACAAGAGGCACGCCTGGTGCCCAGCCGAGTAATTTATGCCTTAACCTTGTTTTGAGGTAGAAATGGAAGGGGAATACATCAAAGGCATCTGTCCCCTGTCACATAGTACGACCTTTACTGTCGTAAATATTTTTAAGAAATTAAAAAAAAACCCAATGTTTAAAAACAACCAAGAGGCTGACATCCCTTTTGTGGGCAGAGCGTGTCCTAGCGAGCCGCACTCTGAAGGCAGGAGGTGGATGAGGGGCTCCCTGCTTCCTTGCCGTTGTCTCTAAATGTTGGGAAGGGACTTGTCCCCCCTCTGCCCCCTGCAGCATCCCCTCCCAGTGGCTGCCTGGCCTGGATGGACATCTTCCTCCCAGGCCAGCCCCTTCCGTCTTTGGTCAGTTTGGATGTTTGAAACCCACATGTCACTGTAGCTTCTACCCACTAATGTCTGTTCCCAGGCCCCCCCAGACTTCCCTAGGCTAGCACTTCAGTACTGACTTTCAGGCCCTGACCGCAAGTTTCTTCACCTTTACACACAGGCTACTCTTACACTAAGTTGTCTCCATTCTATTCTCCTGCCATTGGAATCTCAGGGAGCCAGTGGAACCTTAGAAGTTACGTGGTCCAGTTCCCCCTTAGAGGAGGTGCTCAGAACCAGAGAAGTTAAGAGCTCGCCCTAGGTTCCACAGCAAAGTCCAGACTAATCCTAGGACTGCTCTCTGCCAAGCCAGGCTGTCACTCTAGCCCAGCCTGAGGAGGGCTTAGTGAGGGCACAGAAGGAATTGATATGAAGTCACTTTTTATGGGAATATTTTTTCTCAAATGGTGAAACCAAAATGAGAGGGAAACACTTTAAAATCATCTTTCATCTGAGTCATTACCCATATGAACAGAGCAGCCTGGCTAAAGGAGGATCGGTGACATCAAACCCCAAAGTGCATTGTGAGATCTGGCACCCAGCCTTCTGTCAAACAGCACCGACTCTGAGAGGATGCTTTCATGCAAAACCTGACCTTAGAGACTGGCATTCACATTTTAAAAAATTGCCATGTGTAGCCGTACTGCAGGCCAAACAAAATCTGTCTTCAGGTCAGATGTAGCCCAGAGGTCACCGAACTGCAACCTCAGAACTCAGAGGCCGCCTTTATCCCCAGGACGCCAGGGCCCTCCCTGCCCTCCCCTACCTGACCCCAAGAACAACTCTGAGGTCGAAAGGCTGAAGGGATGGGAAGCTTGTTCGCATCTTCAGGTCTTCAGCCCTCGCACTGCGTCCTCTCTTCTTCTGTCTCTCCTATCAACTCTCCCGTTTTGAAATTATTTGCCCTGGGGTGTAAATGTCCAAGACTGGCCTTAGGAGTGCTGGCAGTGCAAGCAGAGAGGACACATTTCACAGGGAGCAGAGCCTCATGCTGGGGCAGTGTTTCTCAGGCCTGGCTGCACATTGGAATCACCTGCGAGCTTTAAAAGCTACCTATGCAAGGGCCCACCCCGCCCTTGCAGGGGTCAGATTTAATTGGTTGGGAGAAAGGCTGGGGCATCATTTTTGTTTCAAAGTTCCCTACATTGGTGACTCCATTGTGCTGAGAGTTGAGGCCAACAGGCAGGTGAATGCACAGGCTAGAACACAAACAAACAAGCGGGGGCTTAACATGCACAGGAGACCTTCTGTGCTGATTAACAGTAACTGTGCTGTCGTTGTAATGTTGTTCAAGTTCACCCGGCTCCAGCTTGGGGTTTGGGAGACTCTCGTTCCGGCAGGCCTCCAGAGTGTAATTTGCTGCAGGAGATTTCACCCAGTTCTCCGGGGTCCGCAGAGCCCAAGGGGGCTCTTGGAGCAGCTGGGGGCACATTTGCTAATGTCCAGGCGGGGAGATGGACAGCAGTCTCTGAAGCATTTTTGGCACTTGGTGGCAAGCGGCCCAAAATGCAACCTCATCTCGACAAGGAAATTCATATTAGGGTTCATACTGCAATGTTCCACCTGGTAGTAAGAGTACTTATGGTGACTTAAGGGCTCTAAGAACACAGTGTTAACATGAAGCGCAACCAACGTGAAAACAGCTCAGCCTTTTAAAAGCAGTATCGGCCCTTCCTACTCCAGAGCAGCCGCGCTGACTGCCAGGCGGCCTGGTGATGCTTGAGCTAGCTCGCGGCGGGAAACACGCCTGGGGCAAGGTCTGACTCCGCGAACCGGATTGCCCGCGGAGGGCGGTTTTAGAACTTGGCCCATGGACTGTCAGGATTTCTTAAAGTCTAGGTTCCCTGTCTGGGAGAGAGAAGAGCCCTCCAACAGGGAGTTGTGAGCTGAGATGTGCAAGGAGTCCCGGGAGGGGCTCACTGTTGATTCCGACACGGCGAGACCCCGTGTGGGAGGGTGCCGCCGTCAGAGCAGAACCTGAGGGGCGCACCGTGGGGAGAGGCTTCAGGCCCTTGTGCCATCGCCCAGGGTTCTGTGGGGAAGTGGACATCGATTCTGGGGGCCCTCCGTTCCGGCCAGCTCAGAGCTGAAAAGGAGAAACCCAGGTAAGCGTGCTGCTTCTTTCTGGCATTAGATGGTGGGGGCATGCAAGCTCTGAGGGCAAACTGTGCCTTCTAAAGCGGTTCTCTGTCCAGAGCTGAGCTGCTCAAAGTGGGGTCCCAGGACCACCAAGGTCAGAACCACAGACCAAATTCTACCCCAGACCTCCCAGATCCAGTTCTGGCGAGGTAATCTTAAGCACAGCAGCCTAGAGCCATGATACTCTGTTGCCTAGACTTCCACGTCAGTCCGTCACAGCACGAGCCTTCTCAGCTGCCCTTCAGCCTATCTTGGTGGCAGTGGAATCGGTCAAAGCCCACAAGAGGCATCCTGCCAGCGCCCACAGGGGTTTCTGGGTTTTCCGTGTGCTAAGGGAGGTGGTATTTTTTAACAAGATGAGCACCAGGTGAAGGGGCAAAGTGCTGACACAAACACAAGAGGGAGGGAGACTCGCCCTTCGGGGACACCTGGAGTTCTCCTCGCCTAGAGGTCTTCAAAGGACCAGTCGCTCTCCGTCAGTGGTCAAGAGCTCCAGTGTCAATACTCCCCCAAAATAAGACACGAGGCTTTGGGCTTGAAGCCCCAAGACGCTGAGCAGCCTAGAATAGAAACGGCTGGCTTCATCATGACATAATGACTCACTGGGACCACACCTCCCCCCGCAAGAGGTGGCCA